AATTCCTTTTATTTCTTTTAAAGTAGTTGTATAATTATTTAGGAGCCCCAGTGGCGCAGTGGTTAAGCAAACCCACCAACCACTCTGCAGGAGAACGATGTGGCAGTCTGCTTCCGTAAAGATTTACAGCCTTGGAAACCCTGTGGGGCAGCTCTACTCTGTCCTACAGGGTCAGTATGGGTTGAAATCAACTAGATGGCAATTTTTTTTTTTTTTTTGGGTATATTTGTATTCTTTGTCTGATAATTCCAGTATTTGATATCTCTGCCAATCTGATTTTGCTCCCTGTTGTTTCTGCTGACTTTTGCTTATTGGTACCCTGTTTTCTTCTATATTTTGTGATTTTTGACTGTGATCTCTTATCCTTAGAATTTTGTCAGTAACTGATAAAATTGGGTTGAAGGTATGTTCATCTAGGGAAGATTTCCATTTGTTTCTGCTAGGTTCCTGGAGGCACTACCAATCAGGAGCACTTCGCTTCCCATTTATTTTATGTATATATACACTCACTCCTCACTTATTGACATGGTTAGGTTCCAAAGACCAGATCTTTATGTGAAAATCAGTGTTATGTGAAAATGGAGGATTTTTTTTTCTGTTTTCAGCCCATTCGCTTATCTGATTTTTTTAATTCAGAAAATATGATCATAGAAATAATAACAGCTAAGATTTACTGATGTACTCATCACTGTGACAAGTCCAGTTATGGATTATTCCTCTGGAGAAGGAGGCTTGGAGGAGAGAAAGCTGGATAAAGCCAGGCTGTGTGACTGGAGGGCCCATGGCTTAACCACTTCACCTTCCTCCTGTGCTGGGTCAGAGCTTCCCTTGCAGAGCTGCCTCCAGGGCTCCACTCCCACCGCTACAAGCCCTGCATTTACAGTCCTGGAGCCTGCTCTGCCGTCTGGGCCTGGCTTCCTGCTGGGTGCTGGGAGCCTGGCTGAGCAAGAGCAATGGGCTCCACTGAGGCGGAGACTTCAGGCCCAGTTCTGCTCACTTTGGGATGTCATTATACTCACATGCATTTCTTCCAAACACCCTCTTGATGCCTCTTTCTTTCCTCTCTTCCCTTCCCACAGCAGTTTTGAGCTCCAGGGCTCAGGCCGCATAGGAGCTGGGAACCCAGAACAGGTGCCCCGCTGGCTCCGTGCTTCCTGCGTGTGCGCCCAGAGGCGATAGCCATGGAGGATGCTGGCCCCGTGCAGCAGCTGGACACAGTGCCCACCAGCAGGAAGGCGTGGAGGGCGAAGGGCAGCATGGCCCAGCTTCCTAGAGGCCGCCCAGAGACCCTCCTTGAGGGAAGGGATGCTCTATAGCTGTTGCTGCCTTGCCTGCTGCGTTGTTAATGTGCAAAATAGTCAGATAGTATATTTTTTATATTGTCATAAATGGGAAATGTTGCATAACGAGATACTGAATAAGTGAGGTGTAGGTATTTATATATATATATACACACACACATATATACTTAAAAGTGGTCTTGAACCTTGTGAATCTTTCAACATAAAAACCTCTGAATTATGCACTTTAAATGGTGAATTTTATGATATATGAATTATATCATTCATTATCTAAAGTGTATAATTTGGAGGTTTTTATGCTGAAAGATGAACGAGGTTCAGGACCACTTGATAAGTATATCCTCAGCTTGAGGTTTAGACCACACAGGTCATGTCAAATTATGCTGCACACCCACATGATTACAAATTCTCAGGTGAGATTTATTTTTTCTTTCACCTAAAACCAAGATTGAAGGGCCAGGTTTCCTTGCTATCGCCTTCTGCAGGACAGATTTGTTTCAATTTGCCTTACATTCAAGGTACAGTCCATTGGGGTCCTAGCTTTATACATGGGTTTTCTTTTAGACTCCCTCCTTGAGAGTTTTGTTTCCCTTCTCCTGCCTTCCATGCCATCAGAACAGAAGTTCAAGGTCACAAACATTGAAAGGATGCCCCCAAGGAAGCTACTAGCTTTAAAGTTAGCTTACCTCTCTGAATTCCTGCACTTGGTTCATTTTTGTCCTCAAAAGATTAGATTTCTTGTCAGCTCAACAATGCATTTAGAAATATTTTTTTAAAATATTGTATTCAGCATTTTTAGTTGTTTGCGGTGGAAGAAAATTATTTAAGATACTGCAAAACAATTGTCTGCCTTTGAATTTGTTTATAATATATATATATTTTTTAATCTCTTACAACTTTAGTTCACTCTTCTGAGAGAGAGTGTGGTTCAGAGTTAGCCATGTCCTTTCTGCACATGACCATTCTCTTCCTCTTGGAGACTGCAGTAGAATTGCTTGAACTGACTAGGTCTGGGATACTCACTCCTTGTTTCCTGAAGAAGGGGACGTCGCTGCTTCCTCAAAGGCCCAGCCACACTCACCAGTGGCTGAGTCTCACACTTGTCTTAAGGCTGTGATAGAGCTAAGTTTCATTGCCTTCCCTTTGCTCAAGGCTTCCCAGGTTTGGGGCATGGGTTTTGAGTCTCTTCTTCTGCCTCTGTACAATCATTTTTTTCTGACTTCCTTTGAGAATAATTTCTCTCATTGTGCCCAGTTAACCAAGAAGATAGAGAAGTAGTCTTCAAACCCCTTCACCTTCTCTGCATGAGGAACTTTTGTAGCTCAGATAGGAAGTACAGAGAACTTGCCCTACAGGTCACTGCTGTCCATAATCTCAGGGTCTCAAGTTGAAATTAATGGACTTCGTGGTTGCACTAGACTCTCTCCCTCCACGTCCTGTATCTAGCGAAGTTTGGGCCTTGCCTGTCTAGGCCTGGGCACCAGAACAGCCCAGGTGCCTGGACAATTTCCCTCCTCAACCAGGAAGCTTCTGTTTATTATCACCTGCAGGAAACAGGACAGGAGACATCAACAACAGTAATGCTGAAGGGCTTTTAGAATTCCCTTAGGAAATTTTATCAGAATCTCCTGTGGAAGTTTTTCTAATCACTAGCTCCTCCCTCCCAAACAGGTGAGCCACTGCTTCCGTGAGATTGGACTGGAATGGGGAAAATGTTGAGAACCATTGGTCTAGAACCTTACTGTCCAGTATAGTAGCCACTAACCCAGTGAAGTTATTGAGCTCTTAAAATGTAACTAGTCTGAATTGTAAAACATGCACTGGAGTTTGAAGATTTAACACCAAAAAAAGAATGTAAAATATTTGAGTACATTTTTTATATTGATTACATGTTGAAATGATAATATTTTTGGATATGTTGGATTAAATAAAATATTTATTAAAATTAGTTTCACATGTTTCTTTTTACCTTTTAAAATGTGGCAACTAGAAAATTTAAGGTTACTCAAGTGGCTTCCGTTTGTGGCTCACGTTCTATACCTCATACACAGTGCTGATCTAGAAGGTAACACATTCCTTTTGGGAGTGTGTGTGTGTGATATTTTGAGTTGAACTGTAGATTCTGCCTGTAACCTCTACCTGTGAGATAGTTTGCCATTTTTTAAGGTCACTATGAGTCAGAATCGACTGGATGGCAGTGGATTTGGTTTGGTTTTTGGTTTTTGTATAGATAGAAGTGACTTCATTCTTTGCTGCAGAGGTTTCTCAACAGTGCCTGTAGTTCTGGATCCTGAGCAGAAAGAGAAATCTTGTTCTCAGATGGGGAAATAAGAATGAGTTTTTCAAGGAGCCATGTAATCAGTAATCACTTCGAATGGTTCTTGTCCTCATCCTTGCTCTCTCGAGACACTCATTAGACTCAGGGTCTCCCAGTAAGCACACACATTTCACATTTCCTTCCATGGTAGTTTGGATGTGGTCTTAGAATGCTCTCTGTGTTTGGTGTTACCTTCCAGGGGCCTGGCACATCCACCTTTTGCTTCCAAACTGTGGCTGGCTGGGTGCAGGCTTCTCCCAAGTTGCAGGATGACTTTCTGCGGTTGGACTTGGGCATCCCACCCACCTGTTTTGACTCTAAGCCCCTTGCCTTCGCATATGACACTTGATACTCCAGATGATTTTCTCTACACACACTTTCAACCCTCAACTTTAACTTCATCCTCAGAACACTTTGAACCAATGTCCTCTTTACTGTCATCTTGTTGGTGATGGAAGTAAAATGATCATTTAAACATATTTTCTAATATAAATGCATTCCTGATTTATAAACTGCATGTCCATACTCATATGCAACATTTTGTCAGCACCCCTGAACTGAAAATTAGAAGGCATGGGAGAATCCATCCTACAGCTCCTCTCCAGCACTTTATTCTTCCCGCTGAGCACAGCTGAGAGGAGCGGGGCTGGGCTTGGAGCAGGCTGCCTGGTGGAGTCCTGGCTCTGTTGCTTTTTAATTGTGTGACTTGGACAAGGTGTTGACCTCTCTGTGCCTCCTTGGCCTCATACATAAAATGGGGATGCTAATACCACCTATCTCTGACTTGCGCAACGATTAAGTGAATTAATGCTCATAAAGCACTTAAAACAGTGTTTGGCACGTACATAGTAAAAATTCAATACACATTTGCTAATGTTACTTTCGTTATTTATTGTGCAAAAATGGGGTCACACCCTGAATTCTATATTGAAGCCTGTTGCTTTAACTCAATCCTTCTAGAACATCTTTCTTTATTCTTATATAACATCATTTTTAATGAGCATGTGCTCTTCTTTTCATATGGATATAACGTAGCCGATGTATATTCTATTGTAATTTTTTTTCTTCTTTCTTTGCTTCTTTTTTTCTTTTCTAGTGTAAACAATGCCATAATGAGCATCCATGCAGCAAAATCTTTGTCCGCATTCTTAAGTATTTCCTTAGGATAAACTCAAAGAAAATGAAGTTACTACATCAAAAGTGTTTACATCACTGAGGTTTTAGCAATATTGCCAAGTCTTTCTCATGCCTCACCAGAAGTTGTTCATGCCCTGCCTCCTGCCTATAAGAATAGTCTTCAGGATTAGGTGTTGCCTTACCACCTCAGAGGGCACAGCTCCTCACAGCCTTGGCGCTCGTGAAGTGCTTCCCCATCTCTCCAACGGGACCTGCCTCTCCCGTGTCCTTCTGTGAGCCTGCCCAGGCACCACAGGTTCAGGTGCTCTTCCTTGAGCCCCGTGTTAATCTCTTCCTATTAATTTTCATCATGTATTGCACCCACTACAAAACTGGATTGTATACTGTGTTGTCACTCCATAGTTTCTTCCACTGCATTGCAGGAGTCATTAATGGAGGAATTAAAGAAAGATGAAATTATTTTACATGAATCCATTTCTGTACTGATATGTCTTTGCGGAAAGTTTACTTTTCCTTTCAGAAGCCAGCAAGATCTCACTAATCCATTTTCTCATTGTTTCAGCTGCTGTCAGGACCCATTGGCCAGAAAGTAACACTGAACCCCACTTAGAAAACATCACCTTTTATCAGGGTCAAGTAAACTTTTCAGCAGTGGTCTCCAAAGAGCCTGTGATGGTTCAGACCCCCAGAAAGAGCCATGCTTCTTCGGATGCTCCAGAAAACTTTACTCCACTGACTGAAACAGCAAATACTGGAGGACGATCTGACTCTCCAAGTGGAACAGATTTCACCATTTCCCCTGCTGGGGGCTCACCTGAGGTAGCAACAGCTCTGAATTCCCAGAACACCTCAGGTGAGTTTGTGCTGATGACGCTCATTTCACTCATGTGTGTCCACTCATGGAAAACAAAATTCCACCACTGTTACCCCCCTCCCAAGGGTCCTGGGTTGGAGTGGACCAGACCTGTGACTTAGGCTCCATTTGTGATGTGCTGTAGTTAATTACTGGAGCTCTAGTGGTACAGTGATTAAGTGCTCGGCTGCCAACCCAAGGTTGGCAGTTTGAACCCTCCAGCCGCTCTGTGGTAGAAAGGTATAGCAGTCTGCTTCCGTAAAGATTTACAGCCTGGAAACACTATCAGGCAGTTCTACTCTGTTCTACAGGGTCGCTATGAGTCGGAATTGACTTGACAGCAGTGGGCTTGGTTTTTGGTGGGTAGTTCATTAAGCTGCAAGTACAGACCAGATGAAGGTACAGATTTGCTAAGAGATCTAACATCTAGCAGGTTTCAGAGCTGGGATTTGAGCCTAAGTGTGTGTATCTGAGCCACGCAGGAGGGGTGTCTGACGAGTGGGATGCCCCAACAATGTGGATGAAGGTACAGAGGAGAGAAAGAGAAATGTGGCCTCTTTTGGGGCAGCAAGTCCAGCAGCCTCCCCTGGGAGAGGACGTTAGTTGTGCTGGGAGAGGAGCGTTGGCAAATACAGTCGTGTGGATGGGGTTAGGGATGGTCATGGAGGACTTTGGAAACCAGGCAGTTTAGATTTGATGGGCTAGGAAGAGTCATGGAAGGTTTTTGAACAAGGGAGTGACATGATTAAAGCAGTTTTGGGGAGGATTTGCCCGGCAGTCATGCACAGGATATTTGAGGCTGGAGGGGTCGGGTGGGGAGGGAACTTGCAGTCAGGGGGACCACCCAGGAAGACACAGAAATCCACACCCAGATCTCAGATGCTGAGGTATGGCCTAGGGACAGCAGGGATGGAGAGGAAGTGGTTGGTAAAGAGAGAGTTCACAAAGGAAAATTGGTGGACTTGGTAACGGTCTGAAAGTAGAAGATGCAGGCATCAGAGTGGACTCCAAGATTCACACTCTAGTGATAGGAGGCTGGTCAGGAACTCATTCTGTGCAGAAGACATATGAGGGTATTTTGTGCTCCATCCATGAAGGATGGATGCAGAGCTTACAATCGCCGCACATGATGCTGCCTATTGCATTGGTCGTGCTGCTGGTGAAAGTTTTGTTTGTGTTAATGTCAAGCAAAGTCTGGGACCCACTTTGTGGAATGTGGGTGATGAGCCATGATGACCGGAATCTGATCTCCAATGCCATATCATCTGATGGTGTTGTTAGCTGTCATCATGTCGATGCCGACTCTTGGTGAGCCCATGTGTGAGAGTAGAACCGTGCTCCATAGGGTTTTCAAGACGGACTTTTCGAAAGCAGATCATCAGGCCTGTCTTCCGAGGTGCCTCTTGGTGGGTTCGAACTGCCAACCTTTTGGCTAGTAGTCAAGTGCATAACCATTTGCGCCACCCAGGAACAACCTGCATCATCTGATGCTTAGCTCCAGTATGCCCCTTTTCTGATAATTTTACTACAGAATGCAAAGTCTTTGCTTAATGGGATCCCAAAACAGTCCTTGTCTTGGTTTGTGATCTCCCTTTCAGGACTTAATGTTCCTTAGAATGAATAATTGCTCCTAATTTCTTTCCATGGCTACACATTTTGTAGAGGTCAGCGTTGAGCCCACTAAAAGATTGTTAAAACATTTGGAAGTCCACTGGCAGAACGTTAATTGTTGCCGTCTGGTTTCAGCCTTGGAAAAGCTTCGCTTCTCATCCAACAGTTCAGAGTCAGAAGAATGGATTGCCGCTTCTCAAACGGAGAGTGGAACACTCCAGGGCTCCCTGGCCAGGGAAAAGGGTCTTCCAGAAGAAGCGACTCTGCACCCTCAGGTGGCTGCCGCGTCTGTTTTGAGCCAGTCCTCTCTTCCTGCTTTGGAGATGGGAGAACCGACCACATTCTCTAGGAAGAGCAACTCCTGGGGTCCAGAGCTCTCTTCGCTGCATTTCTCCAGGACTCCAGCTTACACCCCTCCCTCAGACCATTCATGTGAGTTATCTCATCCCCAGTTGAAATGGAAATAAATAGATGGGTACAGCTAGCTCGCTGCAAACTCAGAACGGAGGCTCGGGGAAACTGTCATCACTGTAATGCAAAATATTTGATGGAAAAGTACTACCTGCATATGTGTCCTAGTGTTGAAGTTCACCTTAAAAATAGGTTTTCTTTAACTGCATAAGAAGGAAAATAATAGTTGGCCTGGTGACTACTGTAGGTCTTTCTGTCTGCCAACCCCCTGTTTTCTGTACCCCCATCCCCAACATATACCTGCATAGACACACAACAGAGACTAATTGTTATTGGTGTGTATTTTTAGACAGGAGTCTCTGGGTGGTGCAAACACAAACGGTTAATGTGCTCAGCTGCTAACCAAAAGGTTGGTTTAGGTCCACCCAGAGGTACCTCAGAAGAAAGTCCTGGTGATCCACTTCCCCAAAATCAGCCATTGGAAACCCCACGGAGCACACACTTCCACTCTGACACACAAGGGATCGCCATGAGTCACAATCAACTCAATGGCATCTGATTTTATTCTTAGACAAGAGACCATGGCTGGAATAATGGCATTATATCATTTGATTAGGAGTTAAACTGTTAGTTCGTCTCCATGACTGCAAAAATGTTTCCTTCAATTGCAAAGAAAATGTGAGTACACGTTTTTCTACAGAAAACCAAAAAACAACTCAGTGCAGATGTTGGCAGGGCATTGTATTAGGAACTGCAGCCGTGGCATACTCTTCTTCCTCTCTGCCAATCCAATTCTTACCCATCATTTAAGCCTCAGCGCAAGTATTCCATTTCCATGGAAATTTTCTTCAACTCCCCTGATCCTCAGTGATTTACAGACTGTGCAATACACCTTGTAACTCTTGGTTATCTAATACCTTGTCTGCCCAGGTAGATTGTAATTCTCTTGAGGGCACTGGCTGGATCTATTACTTCTCTTCTATTCCCCACTGCCTGAGAACAAGGTCGAGTTGAAAAGGAATGGGGATTAGCATGTGCCCAAATACCTTCACAAGGCAGATACAGCCGGGGGACAAAGAGAGTGTTGGGAATTGCCTGTCTTTTCTATTCCCTGAGGTTTTATTCAGAGTCTGTGCTTGTTTTCCTCCCCATGCTGCAGGGAGAGGACAGAGAGGGCTGGAAATATTACTGGGAAATAGGGGTTAGGTTGTTTTAGAGATTGCCATTTCCAAAGTTTTATAGGTCAGAGGTTTTTAGAAGTACTTTGCAAGGCTAGGTATTTGGGTTTATGTCATCCAAGCAAAAAATCCAGAGGTCCTTTCTGTAAATCCTATTTTTAAGTTAACCAGTACCTCTTCTATATACCCTGTATACAGTTTCTTGCTGACTGGATGTAGATATAATTTATATAATTTATGATTCATGTTTTTAGGAGATTGCTTTTTAAGATTATTCACAAACACTGGTTGGATTAGATAAAAGCTATGATCCTTTCCAGCTCCGAAGTTCTGTGGTTCAGTGATTTACAACCAGCTTTACTAAACAGTGGGAAGGAAGCATTTTCTAGGCAGCTACACGTTGATTCTGGTGAGGGTCATTTAATACGTACAATTTAAATTCAACCCACTAATGTGGTGTATTTGAAAATCAGCCCATGTTTCCAACTTTATTGGATTCTGCTATGTATTCACCTATATTTTTCAACCTTAAAAAAAGAATTTGTCCTAAAATTCTTTGGGCATTCATCCTTTTAGAACTGTATACTTTTAATTATTGGATAGTTCTACCATATCTTCCATATTCTTTGAGTCTTTTACTAAGCATTTTCTCTTCCTTCTTTGTGAACTGGGTTTTCTATTCCAGGTCAGGTCCCACCTCCCTCTTAGATTGTGGAGAAGGCTTTGGGCGCTGTTAGATGGGAGTATAAGTGGGAGGATCCAGGATCTTCCTTGTGGAGATCCCTGACAAGACTTGCACAAGAAACTGAAGCCATATTAAAGTTCTGCTTTATTTTTAAGCTGGGCTAATAACAACAACAAAAAAACATTGCTGTCGAGTCAATTCCGACTCATAGCGACCCTCTAGGACAGAGTAGAACTGCCACATTGGGTTTCCAAGGAGCGGCTGGTGGATTCAAACCGCCAACCTTTTGGTTAGCAGCCTATCACTTAACCACTGCGCCACCAAGGCCTTAAGCTGGGCTAGCACCCGCTAACTCCCTAAACAGAGCTTTGGTATACCTCCTAAAACCAAACCTATTGCTATCAAGTCAATTCTGATTCAACGACCCCATGTTTGTCAGAGTAGAACTGCGCTCCACAGGGTTTTCAATGACCGTGATCTTTCGGAAGTAGATCACCAGGCCTTTCTTCTGAGGTGTCTCTGGGTGGACTCAAACCATCAACCTTTTGGTTAGTAGCTGAGTGCTTAATCATTTGCGCCACCCAGGGACTCCGGTAAACCTTCTGCCTCCCCTTAAATCTAAATCTTGAGATGTTACTACCTGATATAGGAACTAGGCTTGTGGGCTAGAGTGCTGAGAGAGAGAGCTGGCAGGACTTGCCAAATGCAGACCCAGAGTCATCCCGACCCAGCCAAGCAGCTCTACGGAAGCACGGGAGGGAGGAGGGAACGTAGTGTGGGCTCGTGCCTTGGACACTTGGCCATTCCATCTACTAGTAAATGTGACCCAGTGAAAGTCCCAGCCCTCAGACCAGTCAGATTAGTGATGTTCGTCACGTAATGAGAGCTAGGATGGCTGTCCAAGAGCCTGGCACGAGGTGGACGAGGCTGACAAACAAGGTCCCTGTTTGTTAATATGAGGGGACTAGACCAGAGGATCTTAAAGACCCTTTCTAGTTCCAGCATCTGTTATTCCAAATACACTCAGCCTTTGTATTCTGTGTGTCCTTTCACCCCGCACTCTGCTACACAACACAGCATCTTCTGAGGCTGGGGAAACCAGGAGTCGCCTGCTTCCAGAAAGAAATGGTTTGCCTTACACTATTAAAGCAGGTATAGGATCAGGCAACTAAAACAGATTTATAAAAGGGATTGGAAACCTTTTGAAATTTTTTCTTTCTGCTTTACATCTTTCTGTACTTTCTATATTTTTTATCATGAACATGTACTATTTGATCATTGGGGCGGGGGGTAGTAAATGAAGCAACAAACAGGAAAAAAATCTCTCTTTTGAAGGCGAAAAGAGATATGTGTACATTGAATTGTGTGAGAGTGGCTACAATTGGGCACTAAATTTAGCACTGAGCTTCCTGGAAACGAGGGCATAAAGGGAAGCTAGGTGGAGCATGCGATTGTTGTCAGATAAAGAAAGCATATGGTTTTATCCATAGGCATAAGTGCTTTGTGAGCACTACATTCTACAAGGAATATTCATGTAAGGAACAATGAAGATCATAATGGACAATGCCTTCAATTGCCATTTTTTGGAAATTGTGCTCATGTTCTCTAAAAGCTGATCACTTCTATAGATCTCCAAAAGGAGCTGAGGGCGAAATAGTGGATCTCAACTCAGGAAAGTATTTCTGAGGGTAGCTGTGCTAATGTGGTCCGGGTCAATTGCTTTGTGGTGATTTCACTTTGTAAAAGGAGAGAACATAAAAAAAATAAATAAATAAATAAATAAATCTCAGAAGGTTGTTGATGTAACATATCTTTCTCAAATATCAGCTGCATCAGCTATAATTTTGGCAAGTTCTGGATAGCAGTTGAGTCAAGGTTGAGCATTCGATGTATGCATGAGGGTCCAGTGTTGGGTGTTGTGCTTGGAGAGTGACCCATATACTTTTAGCAGATGAATAGGCATTCTTCCCACCTCCTGTTATAAAGATTCAGGAACCTGGCTTGTTTCTGCTCCCAAATGGTAGCTGTTTTTTGTTTTTGTTTTTTTTTCCATTTGAATGGCTGATTCAAGGGTAGAAATGAGCAAGGAAGGGCAATTATTAAATAATCAACAATGCTGGCCTCTTGATTAGAAACATAGTAAATTCCCCCTTGGTTTTATTTAGCTGGCATTCATTTACTAGTATAAGTGGTGATGGTAGATGGGTTTGACCAGAGGTTTACTCCTTTTACTAAGACACACCAACTCTACAGAAGTATTCACACCCATTTCAATGTTTTACTATGAAATTAGCTGAGATTATGCGTATAAAGTATTTAGCACAATGCCTGGCACATCGCAATTGGGCAATGAGATGAAGCAATGTTCTGCAGAGCTCTCCAGGTCAGGGAAAACATAATAATTTGTCTTTTGTGACTTTCAGCATCTTGGACTTTTGTGACTGTGTTTTCGTGGTCACTGATTTGCTAAAACCACTGGAGGTGAACAAGCGTGAGATATTCAGGCTGAGTCCAACATAACTGTCCGTGTGTTTTGGTGGGAGCATTGAATGAATGAAATCATGCAGTTTACTGGAAACAAAAGTGTTTTCAAAGAACACCCAGCAATCTGATGAGGTTGGAATTTGGTGGATGCAAAAGACAACTCTAGGTTAGGTCTGAGAAGCTAAGTGGTTGAGTGAGGATTTGGGAATATGTATAATAAATCTTTTCTGGTGAGCCCTGGTGGCACAAGGAATAGGTGCTCAGCTGTTAACCCAAAGACCAGAGGTTCAGACTCACCCAGTGGCTCTGTGGGAGAAAGACCTGGCAGTCTGCTTCCATAAAGACTGCAGCCTAGAAAACCCTATGGGGCAGTTCTACTCTGTCACATGGAGTCACTATGAGTTGAAATCGACTGAACGATGCTAACAATAATATTTTTCCTTTTTATACTCAAAAGGTTTGTGTATATTTGTTAGTTTTGTTTTTGTTTTTTAAATAGGATTGGATAGCCTGGGACTCTGCTTTTGTGTCCAGGCCTTTCTAGTCATTTGTTTCAGACGCTTGCTTTATGGATCACCTCTGTTCATTTTGTCTTTGTTAAGGTCCAGTGACCAGAGCTGCAGGCTGTGCGCTGGGTATGGCTGGTTCTATCGATTTTGTTCAAGAGTAAGAGGAGCCTTTTTGTTTCCTCTCTCTAGCTGATATTTATTTGTGCTTTTGGCCACAACTGTACATAGAAATGGTCTTCAGAGAACAGTTTATAATGACCACTTCCTTCTTCCCTTTTCTGGGTCATAATTAACAGCTTGAAGCCTTTCATTATATACGTGTAGAGTACTTTTTGTCATTTTTCCCTTAAAAGAAAAAAACAAATCATCCTCTTTTCTTGCCTTTGAAACTTGCCAGCCATGCCTCTGTCCACTCACCGACCTTTCCTGCAGCTGGCTCCTGGCTTAGGAACTAACAGCCCTTTGGAGGAGAATCTCGGTGTGCTCCCCTGAGGTCAGTTCTCAGGGTGTCCTTTGGGAAAGTTCTTTCTGGAAGGGAGCCTTCAGTGAGTCACCTACAGAGCAGAGTGTGGATTTTGACCAGTAGTGTATAAGTTAATTCTTGAAGTTCTTGACAGGTGTTCAGTGACTACCGTCCATCTCTAAAAGTGTTGAAAAACTCTTCCCAACCTGAAGTCCTTGGTCTCTTAGGGGCCAGTTGAAGCAGTATATAGTGTTGAGAATGAGGCTAACTAAAATAATGAAGCCTATGTGCTTATGGATGGAATTAAATCAAATTAATGAGGCAACAAGGAACCCAGGTGGCACAGTGGTTAAAGCGCTTAGCTGCAAACTGAAAGGTCGGCAGTTCGAACCCCGCAGCCGCTCCACGTCAGAAAGATATGGCAGTCTGCTTCCGTAAAGATTTACAGCCTTGGAAACCCTATGGGGCAGTTCTACTCTGTCCTATGGGGTCACTATGAGTCGGAATCAACTCAACGGCAATGGGAGTGGGGCAGCAATGAGTATCTCCTGCTGATCAGAAGCTCTGTTAACTTAATAAATGTAGTTTGGTTTATAGTCACTCAAAACATAAGGTTTATTGTGGCCCTGAGGTAGGGAATACTAGAGTCCTTAATGGTGACTAGGCTGGGAATTATCCTTCTGGGTCAGTAGTGTTCCAGCTATGTTCTGCAAAGCCCTAGACCTCCTCAGTGGTGACCTGGGAGTGGGGACCCTAGAACAGGCCCACTTTTACTCATTTGATAGATTGGGTTTTAATGTGTAATAGCATTTGAATAAAAGAATTATGCTGCTAAAACAAAACGAAAAACAACGAAAATCACCCTGTGCCTCATCATGAGGGTCTGTCCTATTTAAGCTATAATGTGGAATTCAGAAGTAGAAGTGTTCACCTTCCTCTATAGAAACCAAGGCAAATAATATATAAAGTGTCTTTCTCCCATCTGCCTTTTAGCTTGAGCACAAAATCTTCACTGTGGTTGGTAAATGACCTCACTGCTTCTCTACTTAGCTTCTGAGAATCAGAGCTAGCGAGGAGAGAGTAAATGAGCGTGTCCTGATTGCACAAATGTTTATTTCTATACTAGGTCCACAGTCCCTAGATTTAAAAATTTTTTTTATTTATTTTGTTGCTTTTGTTTAGAATATACACAGCAAAACATACACCAGTTCAACAGGTTCTACATGTACAATTCAGTGGCATTGATTACATTCTTCAAGTTGTGTGACCATTCACCCTCCTTCTCTGAGTTATTCCTCCCCCATTAACATAAACTCACTGCCCCCTGAGGTTCCTGTCTAATCTTTTGAGTTGCTGTTGTCAATTTGATCCCATATAGATAGATCTTAAAAGAGCATAATACTCAAGGCAGATATTCTTTACTAGTTAAGCTAAACTATTGTTGGGTTTTAAGAAGATTTCAGGGGATATTTTTGGTTTAAGGTTTAAAGATTATCTCAGAGCAATAGTTTCAGCGGTTCATCCAACCTTCCTGGCTCCAGGAAGTCTAGAGTCCATGAGAATTTGAAATTCTGTTCTGCATTTTTCCCCTTTTGATCAGGATTCTTCTATAGAGTCTTTGATCGAAATGTTCAGTAATGGTAGTTGGGCACCATCTGGGTATGGTCTCATGGCAAAGGAGGCAGTTATTCATGGAGGCAATTAGCCACACATTCCATTTCCTCCCCCTGTTCCTGACTCTCCTTCTTCGTTTGTTGCTCCAGGCTAATAGAGACCAATTGTTGTGCCTTGGATGGCTGCTTGCAAGCTTTTAAGACCCCAGGCACTATGCAATGAACTAGAAGGTAGAGCGGAAGCACTATACATGTTATTAGGCCAATTAACTGGGATGTCCCATGAAACCATGACCCTAAGCCTCCAAACCAAGGAACTAAATCCTATGAGGTTTTCGGTTGTACATAAGCAGCCTCAGCAGCTGCTCTTTTTTTTTTTTTTTTGTCATTGTTGTAAATACATCTATCACACAGCTTTTGCCAATTCAACTTTTTACAGGTGTACAACTTACTGACAGCAATTACAATAATCGGCTGTGCAACCCCACCCTTAATCAACGCAGTATTTCCATCACCGTTAACCCCTCCTGACCCCTTCCCTCCCCCCCCACCCCATAACCACTAATAAACTTTGTTCTCTACACATTTGCCTTTTCTTGTCTTTTTACATAACAGAGGTTATACAATATTTGTCCTTTTGTGATTGACTTGTTTCACTCAGCATCATGTCTTCCAGCTCCATGCATACCGTAGCATGTATCAAGACGTCATTTCTCCTACTGTCTGAGTAGTATTCCATTGTCTGCATGTACCACATTTTGTTTATCCGTTCATCTGTTGATGGGCATTTAGGTTGTTTCCACCTTTCGGCTGTTATGAGTAGTGCTGCAGTGAACATTGGTGTGCAAGTCTCTGCTTTCAAGTCTTTTGGGTACATACCTAGCAGTGAAATTGCTGGGTATATGGTAGTCTATTTTTAGTTTTTTTTGAGGATCTGCCACACTGTTTTCAACAATGGCTGTACCATTTTGCATTCCCACCAGCAATGGACAATGGTTCCAGTTTCCCCACATATTTGCCAACATTTGTTGTTTTCTGTTTTGTTTTTTTTAAATCTTAGCCTTCCTAGTGGGAGTGAAATGGTATCTCGTTGTGGTTTTGATTTGCATCTCTCTGATAGCAAATGACATTGAGCATCTTTTCATGTGTTTGGTGGTCATTTGAATCACAGTCCCTAGATTTATCTACTAAAATCTAATAAACATTATTTGTATCTAGATACTTCCCTGATTTTCTTAAACTTCTGAGTTTTGAAGCTTATTTTCATCCATTTTAGCTTCTGGAAGTATAATGGAGCTCAGTGACTTCACTACCTTCAGCAGTCCCTCGGCCAGTCAGACAAAGAGTATGCATGATGCCACCATGTTCACCGATGGTGTCCCTAGGACGCTCCAGTCTTTACCTGTCAGTCTGGGACCTGTAAATGAGACAGAGCACTTCCCTGAATACTCTGAAATTGCTACCACTTCAGCATCAGTCCATTCTTCACCCTCTGTAGAGGAATCAACAAGGAACGGTAGAGTAACTGGGACTCTAGAGAGTGGAGAGTTCATTGAGCCGTCACCAGAAAATAGATTGGAACTTACATCTTCCAAGATCTCAGTGGGATTTTGGCAAAGTGATTCTCCAAGTAAGTGTTCAACCTTTACTTGATCTGTTATGAATGTTTTTAAATAGTTGAATTTTCTTAAGAGGTTGCTTCAAGACCATTTGCAATCTCTAAAGAAAAGCATATTCTTAAGATAACACCAGCTCCTTCATCTGTTATACCGCATTATTGCATTTTGATTTTCATCCTTAGGAGACCATTGTGCAGTAAGCCAAACAGGTATCAGTCCTCCTTCCTTTTTATAGATGAGGACACGAAGGCTCAGAGGAGTTGAGTAATGAGTGCAGCGTCACTCAGCTCACTCACAACAGACTTGACGCCTCAGCCTTGGGGCTCTCCCTGCTGGTTCCACCTTCTTTTCACTCCGCAGCATCGTCTTCATAGTGAGAGCCAGCCCGCTCTTTAAAATGACCTTCTGTTGTTTTACGTATGGATCGTCTTTACAAATAAAACAGATATAAATATATTCCCCAAATCCATGATTTTTGTTTACTCCCTATAGTTGATTTTATTTCACTATATTTCAGAATTAGAATAATCTTTTCCAGTATCAGAACTGCTTTAAAGAAGTACTTCTGACCATGAGGTATATTTATGCATATCGTATTTGCTAGACTTAACGACGCACTTACTCCCTTGACCACTTTTTAGGGGAAAGAGAAGAAAACTCTCAAGCCGTAAGTAACTCTGCCACTTTGCACATATTTAAAAGCACTGAACCCCAGCTTCCTTCTTCACCACCTTTTTATTTGAATATCACTGACTTGTCTTGAAATAATTAGAGTATGAAAATACGTGTCCGGTTATACACGTAACAAACGCTGTACAGGTTTCCTTGGCAAAGGGAATCTATTCTTAGAAAGGAATCACTACTCAGGTGTTGGGGATTCTCTTTCACATCCGTGTAATGGTGGCTTTTTTTTCTTTTCTATGACAACTTACAGCCTTCGGGAGACCTCAGCTTCCCAGCAGCTCTGATGCTAACAATGGAAGTTCCGTTTCTCAGACTGAGACTGTGTCTAGGTCGGTGCCATCCACTGATGGTGGAGAGAGCACCGCACACTGGTCCTTGACCAACAGCGAGATGTTTGTAAATGTGACAGGAAGCTCGACTTCATCTCCCGAAGCTGTGAACTCTTCAGTTTTGACCCAGTTCTCTGACTCTGCTCCACAGTCCAAAGGAAGCACGTTGGGTGATAGGAATTCCTCTGAGCCATCCACAGAGTCTTTGTCTACGTCTTCCTCAGAAAGCCTGGATCCCTCTGTATCACGCGGTGAACGTTCAAGTGAGTTTTCACTTCATAAAATTGAACCCCACCTAGAGGAGAGGGGGCTTACTATGTTTATCATCTTTCTGGCATAGCACCTCTAATCGGCTGCCTTCGAGTTGACTCCAACTCATGGTGACCCCACGTGTATCAGAGTACAACTGTGCTCCATAGAATTTTCAATGGCTGAAATTTTAGAAGTAGATCACCAGTCCTTTCTTCTGAGGTGCCTCTAGGTGGACTTGAACCTCAAACCTTTCCATTAACAGCCAAGTGCATTAACTATTTGTATCACTCAGGGACTCCCTGTGGCATAGTAAGGCCATGCATTAATGAAATAATGCCCAGGCCCATCTAGTTTTATTATTCCCAAGTCATTCTTCTAGCTGGTTGATCACAGAGCTCCTGGAAGATGAAAATAACACCTTTTTATGAGTAGTTGTTCGCTCCTAGTCTGGACATTCATCAAGGGACACTCTTTTTTTTTTAAACAGCTTTATTGAAAGGTAACCCAAATTCCATACAAATTCACCTATTTAAAGTATGCAGTTCAGAGGAGTGGTTTTAGTATATTCACAAAGTTGTATAACCATCACCACTGTCTAATTCCAGAACATTTCTATCACCGCAGAAAGAAGCCCTGTACCTGTTAGCTGTCACTCCCAATTCCCCTCTCCCTCATCCCTTGGGAACCACTAATCACTTCTGTCTCTATGGATCTCCTATTGTGGACATTTCATATAAATGGAGTCATACAATATGTGGCCTTTTGTGTCTGGCCTCTTTCACTTAGCATAATACTTTTAAGATTCATCCACATTGTAATATGTATCAGTACTTCATTTCTTTTTATGGCTGAATAATATTTTATTATATGGATATACTATATTATGCTATATTTTATTTATCCTTTTGTTAATTTATAGACATTTTGGTGGTTTCCACTTTTTGGCTATTGTAAATAATGCTGCTGTGAACATTCTGGTGCACATTTTTGTGTGGATGTATGCTCTAATTTCTCTTGGAATTACTGGGTTATATGGTAACTATGTTTATCCTTTTGAGAAACTGCCAAAGTTTTTCCCAAAGTGGCTGCACCATTTTACACCCCATCCAGCAATGTATGAGGGTTCCAATTTCTCCACATCCTTGCCAACACTTGTTATGGTTCATCTTTTTTATTATAGCCATCCTAGTGGGTATGAAAGGAGCCTGGGTGGTACAAGCAGTTTGCGATCAATTGGCTGCTAACCTAAAGGTAGGCAGTTCAAACCACTCTCCTGCTCTGTGGAAGAAAGACCTGGCAAACTGCTTCCCTAAAGATCACAGCAAAGAAGACCCTATGTAACAGTTCTACTGTGTAGCACATGGAGTCACCTTGAGTTGGAGGCCGACTTGATGGCAGCTAAGAACAACAGTGGGTATGAAGTGGTATCTCACTGAGGTTTTGATTTGCATTTTTTAAATGACTGATCTCCATTCGTCTGTCAGTTTGTCGTGTTGTGGTGACTTGTGTGCTGCTGTGATGCGAGAAGCTATACCACTGCTATTTCAAATACCAGCAGGGTCCCCTATGGTAGACAGTTTTCAGCAGAGCTTCCAGACTGAGAAGACTAGAAAGAAGGACCTGGTGATCTACTTCTAAAAAAAAAAAATTGTCCAGTGAAAACCTTATAGATTGCAGCTAAACATTGTCTGATATAGTGTTGGAAGATGAGCCTCTCAGGTTGGAAGACACTCAAAATATGACTGGGGAAGAGCTGCCTCCTCAAAGTAGAGTTGACCTTAATGACATGGATGGAGTCAAGCTTTCGGAACCTTCATTTGCTGATGTGGCACTACTCAAAATGAGAAGAAACAGCTGCAAACGTCCATTAATAGTCGGAACGTGGAATGTATGAAGTACAAATCTATGAAGACTGGAAGTCGTCAAAAATGAAATGGAACGCTGAAAGATTGATATCCTAGGCATTTGTGAGCTGAAATGGACTGGTATTGGCCATTTTGAATCAGGTCTACTATGCCAGGAATGGCAAATTGAAGATGAACGGTGTTGCGTTCATTGTCAAAAAGAACATTTCAAGATCTATCCTGAAGTAAAACGCTGTTGGCAATAGGATAATACCCGTACACCAGAAGGAAGGCCAGTTAATACAACTAATATTAAAATTTACGCACCAACTGCTGATGCCAAAGATGAAGAAATTGAAGATTTTTACCACATTCTGCAGTCTGAAGTTGATCAAACATGCAATCAAGATGGACTGATAATTGCTGGTGATTGGAATGTGAAACAAAGAAGAAGGATCAGTTGGAAAATATGGCCTTGGTGTTGGAAATTATGCTGGAGATCACATGATAGAATTTTGCAAGACCAATGACTTATTCGTTGGGAATACTTTTTTTTCAGCAACATAAATGGCGACTGTACACGTGGACCTCACCAGATGGAATACACAGGAATCAAATCGGCTACATCTGTGGAAAGAGACAATGGAGAAGCTCAATATCATCAGTCAGAATAAGGCCAAGGGCCAACTATGGAACAGACCATCAATTACTCATATGCAAGTTCAAATTAAAGCTGAAGAAAATGAAAACACGTCCACGAGAGGCAAAGTATGATCTTAAGTATATCCCACCTGAATTTAGAGACCATCTCAAGAATAGATTTCACACAATGAACACTAATGATCGAAGACCAGATGAGTTGTGGAATGACATCAAGGACATCATACATGAAGAAAGCAAAACGTCATTAAAAAGACAGAAAAGAAAGGAAAGACCTAAATGGATGTCAGAAGAGACTCTGAAACTTGCTCTTGAACATAGAGTAGCTAAAGCAAACTGATAAAATAGCTGCACAGAAGATTTCAAGGGGCAGCTCGAGAAGACAAACTGAAGTATTATAATGAAATGTGCAAAGACCTGGAATTAGAAAACCAAAAGGGAAGAAGATGCTTGGCATTTCTCAAGCTGAAAGAACTAAAAAAAAATTCAAGCCTCAAATTGCAATATTGAAGGATTCTATGGGAAAAATATTGAATGGTTTAGGAAGCATCAAAAGAAGATGGAAGGAATATACAAAGTCACTATACCAAAAACCATTGGTCAACAGTCAACCATTTGAAGAGGTAGCATATGATCAAGAACCAACAGTACTGAAGGAAGACATCCAAGCTTCACTGGATGTCTTTTCGCATTGGCAGTTAGCAAAACTCCAGGAATTGACGGAACACCAATTGAGATGTTTTCATCAAACGGATGCAGTGCTGGAAACGCTCACTTGTCTATGCCAAGAAATTTGGAAGACAGGTACCTGGCCAACTGACTGGAAGAGGTCCATATTTGTGCCCATTCCAAAGAAAGGTAATCCAACAGACTGTGGCAATTATCGAACAATATCATTAATATCACATGCGAGTAAAATTTTGCTGAAGATCTTTCAAAAGCGGTTGCAGTGGTACATCAACAGGGAACTGCCAGAAGTTCAAGCCAGATTCAGAAGAGGATGTGGAACGAGGGATATCATTGCTGATGTTAGATGAATCTTGGCTGAAAGCAGAGAATACCAGAAAGATGTTTACCCGTGTTTTGTTGACTATGCAAGGGCATTCAACTGTGTGAATCATAGCAAATTATGGATAACATTGCAAAGAATGGAAATTGCAGAACGCTTAATTGTGCTCATGCAGAACCTGTATATAGACCAAGAGACAGTTGATCAGATAGAACAAGGGGATACTGCGTGGTTTAAAATCATGGTTATATCCTTTCACCATAATTATTCAATCAGTATGCTGAGCAAATAATCTGAGAAGCCAGACTGTATGAAGAAGATCGCAGCATCAGGATTGGAGGAAGGCTCTATACAACCTGTGATATGCAGACGACACAGCCTTGCTTGCTTAAACGAAGACGACTTGAAGCACTTACTGATGAAGATCAATGACTACAGCCTTCAGTATAAATTACATCTCAACATAAACGAAACAAAAATCTTCACAAATGGACCAATAAGCAACATCATGATAAACGGAGAAAAGACTGAAAGTGTCAAGGTTTTCATTTTACTTGGATCCACAGTCAACGCTCATGGATGCAGCAGTCAAGAAATAAAATGACATATTGCATTGGGCAAATCTGCTGCAAAAGACCTCTTATAAAGTCTTGAAAAGCAAAGATGTCATTTTTAGGACTAAGGTGCACCTGACCCAAGCCGTGGTATTTTCAATTGCCTCATATGTATGTGAAAGCTGAATAAGGAAGATGGAAGAAGAATTGATGCCTTTGAATTATGATGTTGGCCAAGAATATTGAATATACCATGGACTGCCAGAAGAACAAACAAATCTGTCTCAGAAGAAGTACAGCCAGAATGCTATTTAGAAGCAAGGATGGCAAGACTTCATCTTGCTTACTTTGGACACATCATCAGGAGGGACCAGTCCCTGGAGAAAGACATCATGCTTGGTAAAGTAGAGGGTCGGTGAAAAAGAGGAAGACCCTCAATGAGATGGATTGACACAGTGGCTGCAACAATAGGCTCAAACATAGCAGCGATTGTGATGATAGTGCAGGACCAAGCAGTGTTTCGTTCTAACAACAGCACCTAACAACACAACAGTGTCTAATCTAGAGCATCTTTTCATGTGCTTGTAGATTTTTGTATCTCTTCTTTGGAAATGTCTATTCAAGCCCTTTGTTTTTTAACTGGATTGTCATTTCATTATTTAGTTGTAAAAGTGTCTATTCTAGATTTTAAAAAAAACAAACCCGTTGCTGTCAAGTTGATTACAACTCACAGAGACCCAATAGGACAGAGTAAAACTACGCCGTAGGGTTTCCAAGGAGCTGCTGGTGGATTTGAACTGCCAACCTTTTGGTTGGCAGCCATGGCTCTTAACCACTGCGCCGCCAGGGTTCCTGTATTCTGGATACTAGAAGATCCAAAAAATAATCCACAGAATGAAAGAAAACATCTGCAAATTATATGTCTAACAAAGGACTAGTATCCGGAATATAGTCCTTTATCGGATACATAATTTGCAGATATTTTCTTTCATTCCATGGGTTATTATTATTATTTTACGTTTTTGATGGTATCATTTGCAGCACAATGTTTTGAATTTTGATGAGTCCAGTTTATCTATTTGAGAAACCTTTAATGTTCCCTTTTAATAATGTGTTTACTTAAAGTAATTAGAAAAAAAACAATTCTAAGCAGGCTTATCAATGTAAAGCATATGTTGATTAAAGCAAAAATCCATTAACTTATCATTTAAAGTTATCATGGGCTTAAATTCTTGCTTCTCCACCACTAATAACAATAGCTCCAATCCCCCTGTGTGGAATCCTAATTGATGAGGAAAATTGTCATTTATTATCACTCTTATGAAGTGGAAAAGCATGTGCTTATCCTGAAAGAATGACCACACATGGGTGGAGGATATTTATGCTCTTCTCTGTCTGTGCATGGAAAACACAGTATCTGCCTCCTAAACCAAAGGAGTCATATTCCACCCTCGCCACTGCGGGGCTCAGAATTTTACCTTCTCAGACCAAGAGCTGGGATCCCGTGGCCTTTCCCTTTTATATCTCTTCAGTCCCCTTTCTCTCTGAAGTTCAAGCTCAGTTGGTTAATCTGGAAAATGTGATTCCAACGTAAGTGGATCTTGCAATTCAATTATAAAGAGCAAGATAAGGAAGAGCCTCACTCCTGAAACATCTCAATGCTTTATCTTGTTTCTTCCAAATCGGCCAGAGCTGACTGATTCTGCAATCCAGCTTCAGCGCCCACTATTCGTTCCTGTTTTGGGTTCAGATACAGTGCCTGTTTCAGGGCGTGGGTCTCCACTTGGTGAAGTCTGTGACCCTGACGTGGTTGTTGGCCTGGATTTAATTTACCAGGGGTTTTTAAGATTTCCCTAGCCGAGACCTTTTTCTCTTTGCCCGGAGACATTGCGCTTAGATACACTGAACTCTTCAGCCCCTCCTGTGGACTTTTCATAGGTCTGGAGCCCTTCAGCCTGGATCCAGTCATCTCTCTCCAGTCCCTGGCTTTCTCAGTGCTGCTCTAGGTCACTGTACATCCCTGTCCCCACTCTCAGTCCTGCCTGTGAGTGAACTCAAGCCTATCATAATCTTACTGGCAACTCACCTTTACACTGATTTTCCATCAGATTGTGTCCATAGGATGTTAAGGGCTAGCCTGGGCTGGGAATGGGAATAAGAATCTAGAAAGGAGCCTGTTTTCTCAGAGCCAGATTGTGAAGCATTTAGGCCAAGAAGGGATTGGGCCCCAGTTTCCTCATAGGTATCTGAAAAGAGGGGTTTATTTGATCATCTATGATCCCTTTTTGTTCTAAGATTCTTTAAGCTTAGAGCATGAAGTGTACTCAAAGAGGGAAGGAAAGAATATATATTCACATGTCTCTTGTCCCTCTCCCATCCCCATCAATAAAATAGAACAAATGCATTAAAAAAATAATAAACAAAGAACCTTTAACCTCCAACCACAATGCCGTTGCTCACTGCGGCGTGAAGGCAAAGAGATAACACGATAGAATGAGAGGCCCCATGTTAATTCCTGTGCTGCAGGTTATACCAAGAGGGGAAAGCCTTCTGAGTGACGCGTGCCTCCCTCCTGGGCCTTCTCAGAAGGTCTAAAGCCCCAGTAGGGCGGTTAGTCTTTTGCCCGCCACTCTCCCCCCTCAGCCTCCACCACCAATTTTCCTGACATAAACTGTATTTATTATGTATCACTGAGCAGAAATACGGTATTGATCCCCTTCACTGAAGTAATAAGCCTTCCCATAAATCCGGGTCACCTGAACAGATATGCTCATCCATAGTTCCTCTTGAGGTTTTAGTCACTGCTACGCATTTGTAAGAACACTTACTTTCGTTTTCCACATTGTCAGTCTCAGATAAAGACCCTGAGATAGCATAGGGAGGCTTTTGGCTTTCATTTCCAGGAAGTGGGGCTTATTCCTGAGACTCAATTTCGTGTACAATAGTGTTGCTCTGTTCCTGTATTTGAGGGCTGTGGTGGTTCAGTGGCAGAATTCTCACCTGCCATGCAGGAGACCTGGGTTCAATTCCCAGCCAATGCACCCCATACACAGCCACCACCTGTCTGTCGGTGGAGGCTTGTGTGTTGCTATGATGATGAACAGATTTCAGTGAAGCATCCAGAATTAGACAGACTAGGAAGAAAGGCCTGGTGATCTACTTCTGAAAATCAGCCAATGAAAACCCTGTGGATCACACAGTGTTTTGTTCTGCTGTGCATGGCGTCGCCGTGAGTCGGGAGCTGACTCAACAGCAGCTAACGACAACACTAATCCCTGTATTTATCAGCCATTCCTTTTTTTCAATCTTCTTTCAGCCATTGAAGGCAGCCATGAACTGGGAGGCAGTTCAGACCCACAGGAAAAGACTTCTGGTTCTCACCCTCACAGCCCACACACATCAGCTACTTTCACTGGAGCTGGAGAGCGGACACTGCGATCTCTTACCAACGGGAGCACGGCTCCTGGAGAAGTGGGGAGCTCTGCCTCGGTGCTCAGAGAAACGGAGAGTGCCACACGGCACCTGGACGTGACCAAGGACACAGACTTCGTCTCAGGTTCACTGGCTGCCTTACATGTCCTCGGGGGTACTGGGTCTGCAGCAGAATCTCTTTTTCCACATCCCTTCAGCTCATCTGTCCATTTACTTACAGTCCTAGAAGGATTCAGTTTTCTGTCAACCTAGAACATACCTTTCAAGCTCTTCAAGGAGGGAACTTTCTGGGTTCTCCCCCATTAAGAAGATGAACAGCCCTCCCCAGCCTGGTCCTCCCCACCCTCTACACACACATACACACTTGCCTAGGCATTTGGGATGATGTCTACTTAAAATAAAGGAGACCAGCCACTTTGTGGCTAAAGCCAACCTCCTGGGAAAGAAATATTTCATTATACTTAATGGAAAGTTGGGAGGGTTTTCCTTTTCCATTTAGGCATAACAGTTGTTCTGTTTGGGGTCTTAAGAGCTTTTATCAAAAAAGGCACATGGAAGCAATTTGGACCTATTCCCTATTCTTAGGCTTCTAGCCTCCACTTCTCCTTTATTACCATTTCCATTGCTGCCATCACTGTTCCTCACAGGATGAGTAAATATCCTCAGAGCAGACATTGACCCTTCTGCCTTCCCACACTGTCCCTGATCAGAGTGCTCGCCATTGAAAAACCACCTCCCAAGAAAGTGTTTCACCCCACTTATGTTCATGGAAAGGACATTGAAAGTCTATTTTATATTTTGTATTTGTTTAGTTGACCTAACTTTAGTTTTTCCCTTTGCAGTCACTGGAATTAGTTACGGTCAATTGAATGGCACAGATATGGAACAGAGGACTTCCAGTGACCACACAGACCGCACTTATGCTTCATCTACTTTCACCAAAGGAGAACGGGCATTACTGTCCATTACAGACAACATGGACTTAAGGGAGAGTTCAACCTCTTATATCAAGATCTCTAACTCTTCACATTTAGAGTATTCTTCCTCTTCTCATGCTCAGACTGAAAGAAGTAATGCCTCATCCTATGATGGGGAATATGCTCAGCCTTCCACTGAGTCACCGGTTATGCGTACTGCCAACCCTCCATCCTACATGCCCACCATTAACGTGACAAATACTTTGGTTCTTCTGGATGTGGATGCTGGATCTGTTGGTGACTCATCTTCTCCATCAGGGCCACCTTTGCCTCTGCCCTCAGTGTCACAGTCCCACCAATTGTTCTCATCAACCCTACCATCAACCAGGGCCTCTGCTCCTCCACTGAAGTCTACCTCGGATGTGTTTTTGTCTTCCTCACCTTCACCTTTACCAGTCTCCTTGATGGCATCTACCCTTGCACCGTCTACTCCTGCCCCATCTTCTGTCTCACAAACAACCTTACCACGTTCATCTTCTACCCCTGTCCTTCCCAGGGCAAGGGAGACTTCTGGGACTTCTCTTTGGACATGGACAATGGCATCATCCATAGCAGTGCTCCATAGTAGTCAAACAGAAGACCCTAAGAACCAGAGTGACCCATACCAGGAGAAAGTCATCACGGAGACAGAGTCACCAAGCCTAGTATCTTTGCCAACAGTGTCCACTGAAGCTGTAACAACGAGCTCTCCTTCGGAAGTCCCTTTGCCCCCAGCCTTAACAGAGTCCTCCACTGAGCAAACCCTTCCAGCCATGAGCACCAGCTTAGCCCAAGTTTCTCCAGCTCTGAGAGCCACCACCCTCAAGACCTCTCATCCCCCTGTGACCACTGGCAGCCTCCCATCAAGCACAGTGGCTCTGATGAGTGGTGCCACAATAGTACAGACTACGGCTGGGGAACAGTTCTCGCCAACCAGTCCTGAGGTCCTAGTGCCACAAATCTCAACACAGGGTGCTGTCACCACAAAAAGGACTCAGGTTCATATAGATGCTACCACCAAATTGATTCCTCTGACCAGCGCACCCACATCAGCAAGAGACTTGGCTGCAAGTCTTGGCGTTACAGAAGAGCACAGCCCAGCTTCACATTTCTCCAGAACATCTGCTTCTTCTCAAACCACAGGTGTTTCTACTGCTGAAGTATTGACTCATAAATCTACCACCTTCCCTGCTCAGGGCAGCACACCGTCACCAACGGCATTGTCTTCTCCAGCCTCAGGTAAAACTCAGTCTCATAAGCACATATTGACAGGGAGGCCCCATCAAGCACTGAGAGCTGCACAGGGCTCAAGATTCATGTGAATGTGCGGACATGGCTAGTACTGGAAATAGTACGTGTCTATTTTGTGATGTAAAATGCTTCCTGTTGAAGCACTTAAACCATGAAATAATGTCACGGTGGGCCTACTCTTCTCGCCCGAGTTACATAATTCTTCCTGAAGAGGGGAGGGTGCATTGGTTTGTGGAACGTTAGTAGGTAGCACGGTTGTAGCTTTTAATGCTCTGTGATCGCGAGAGCTTTCAAGCATAACTTTCACTCTTCCAAGGTCAGAGAGGGGCAGCAGTGTGGGATTAGAGGTGGGAGACCAAAGTAAAGAAGCTTTAGGTGGCCTCTCTGGGACAGAGGCTGAGTTGGCTTGCTCCCAGATCAGTGCCCAGGGCTTCTGAGCCAGTCAGCAGACTGCCCTATTCACCAGGGAGACTTCCCTGGATCCAGAGGAAGCCCGAGCTGCTGTGTCTCCCTAAGGTAATGTTGCTAGTTGAAATGGCGGGGCTGGAGGGGGGCATGTCCAATAAACCTGTCCAATGAACTAACCTTTTTCCACAGTGACTGCGTGGTCAGGGCTCCTAGACATTGCACTTGAGGTTACCTTTATATTCATGTTAAAGTAGCTGGTGCAAGGAAAATAAAGCATCCAAATGATTCTTTACCATTTAAGAAAAGATAGAAGGAAGCGGGATAATATATCTTTTGATGTCATGTTCAAGGTTATCTTTTTGGCTTGTCCAGACCAGGAAGGAAAGAAGAGAAATGCTTTGTAGTGACTGGAGCAGGGACTCAGTTACTGACACAGTCTCAGCCTGTCCAGCATGATCAACCTGTGGGATTTGGAGGATGGGAGGTCAAAACCACCACCCGCCGCCAGCCACAGAATTCTTGAAGCATCAGTACCCCCCTTTGTACCAGTGACCCAAGGACCTCTGGGAAAGGAAAGGTGGATCGTTCTCCAGGGAAATTTGGGAACCCTGCTTCAGAGCACACAAGGCTTCATTTCCAGAGGCCAAACATATTCCAGTACCAGAGCGTACTTCCCAAGGCTCCCTTCAGGAGGGTGATGGAATGCAGTTCACAAGTCATTACAATGATAACAATAGGCGAGTATGGTAATGTATTCTTTGTGACAGTGTTCATGTGTATATAGGTGTTTTTAGGTAATAGTTAAGATAGCAATGCAGAATAGCAACACCATCTTTGGATTTAGGCTTTTGTTTCTTGGGGTTATCGTTTTGGAGTTCGAGCTCTTGACTTTTTGTTCCACCACTGGTTTGCTCCTTGCAGACGATGGAGGTATGTTGTGGGTTTCAGCTTTTCTAAGTCAGTGTCGGAAGCCGGTACTATAAGCCCCCGGAGCCTGGCACTGCCGGTTACACACAACAAAGCAGAGCGTTGTGCTTACTGCCCTCGGGGGCTGGGAGTCCAAGATGACGTCGAAGCGTGTGTATCGTTAGGGCCTGAATGGATTCTGGTAGGGCTGGTTTTTATATTACGTGAAGAGAGAGGGCAATTGGAGTGCTCCAGTCAGATCATTTTTCTGACTGATTGCACAACACGTGGAGGCCCAGTTAAATTTTGGGAGTTTTTGGATAAAGGATGCTGTGGTTTTGATAAAGTCTGTGCACGTGGGCACACAAACTTGCACAATTGCAGCAGGGAGGGTGGCTTCATCAAGCATGCTTTTCTCCCCTTAACATGTTTGAAATTGGCACTGATTCAAGCAGAATTTTCTTTTTATTGTACTTTAGGTGAAGGTTTACAGAACAAATAGTTTCTCATTAAACCATCGGTACAGATATTGTTTCATGACATTGGTTAACAACCCCATGACATGTCAACACTCTACCTTCTCAACCTTGGAGGACCTTTTTTTGGTGAAAATATACATAGCCAAAGTTACACTATTTCAAAAGTTTCTACATGTACAATTCAGTGACATTGATTACATTCTTCCAGTTGTGCTGCTATTCTCACTGTCCTTTTCCAAATACTCCATCACCATTATCTTCAACTCACTGCCCCCTAGGCTTCCCATCAAACCGTCTGAGTTGCTGTTGTCAATTAAAACAGAATTTCCTGAGTATCACAAAGGCAGTATGATCATCGATCCTGAACCGAGGGGGACCTGTGAGCAGTGTTTAGATGTGAACCAGATCTTACATTCAGAGATCCAGTGGTCTCACACTTGTATGTGTACACAAACTAGGACCAGTGCCCAGGCCCACAGCACCTGTCTTCCGCACCTCTCGGGGGCCCGTCATATTTTAGTAGTGTGGCCTTTCAGGGTAAGTAAACAGAATAAGCAAGAATCACATAATAGCTGGGAGTACTAAATACCCACCTAGAGCTGCCTTCGCATTTCCTGTGTGATTAACTGCCTTATTCCTGGAATGTGTTTTCAGTCAACAGCTGTGCCTCAAACCCTTGTCTTCATGATGGGACCTGCATTGCTGATGCCTCCAGCCGTGGGTACCGGTGTGTGTGCTCACCTTCCTGGCAGGGGGATGACTGCAGTGTGGGTAAGAGCCAAGTAATGTCCAGCGGTCTCCACTACAGTATCCCACTGAGATACTCAGTGAGCGCCATTGTCCTCCAGAATTTAGGGAAATAAGATTTTCTAATTAATGCTCTGCTTCACTGAGAATTAGCATGATTATGTGTTCTCTGCAGGATAATGTCAGACACTGTAGCGTGGCGCTGACAAGCCCCATGATTTGGCTCCATTCTGTGGGTTTTCTATACTCCAGCCATACTAGACCACCTGCAGCTCCCCAAAGACCCCTACGCCCTCCTGCCCCTGGCCTAGAATGCCCCCTCCCTCTGCTTATTAAAGTCCTTCCAGTCTTAGTCCAGATGTTACATAAACAGTCTTTAAATCTCTCCCTCCATCAAAATCTGCTCCTTTCCCCATACTTCCAAATTCTGCCTTGTATTTATAGTCAAGGAGCCTTGGTGGCACAGTGGTTAAGTGCTCGGCTGCTAACCAACCGAAAGGCCAGCAGTTCAAACCCACCCATTGCTCCATGGGAGAAAGATGTGTGGCAGGTCTGCTTCCGTAAAGATTACAGCCTTGGAAACCCTAGGAGGCAGTTCTACTCTGTCCGTTAGGGTTACTATGAGTCAGAATCGAGTCGAAGGCAATGGGTATTTATAGTTGGTGATTTATATGGCTGCCTCCACCCTCAGTAGACTGTCAGCCCCCTGAAGATAAGGATGGTGTCTTACTCATCTCTGGTTCCACTGTACCTGGCTCCATTTGGCCCTTACCAAGTGCTGACCGTGCTGGATTATGGTTGTGCTGTGCGCCACAGATTCCATACAGTCTGGTTTCCTCCCCTCTGCAGATGTGAATGAATGCGTTTTGAACCCCTGCCCGCCCCTGGCCACGTGCAACAATACTCAGGGATCCTTCACCTGCAAATGCCCAGTTGGGTACCAGTTGGAAAAAGGAATATGCAATTTGGGTAAGAGAGTTACTCTATGTTGGATTTTATTTTGCACCACAATGTATTTTACAAAATAACATTTACTGTTTTTATTCCTAATCAGAATCAATATTTGTCCACTGTAAAAACTTAAGGAGTATGGAGGGAAGTGGAGGACATTTCCTGTAATTCCCTCACTCACAGATAGCATTTTACTTTGCTGTCATTTTTGGTGTGCATTATATTTTTACATAGCTGAAATCCTAAGGTATATGTACACACTTGGTATCTTAAACATTTCCCCATGCTATTAAAAATAGTATACAAACATCTTAATAACTTCATGATATGCCATCCTTGTTCATTCCGTGATTTGCTTAACCATTCCACCCTGCAGTTAGGAAAAAATTTATCAAAAGGATATTCTAACAGCTCGTTAAAAAAAAAAAAAAATTAGAAGGAGAAAAGACAATAAAACCTTGATTGTCCTACCACTTCACACATTCTTTTCATTTCTAAAAATGATCTTCATGCTCTCATCCACAGGCAGACGCGTTTTTACAAAGCTGCTGCTGTAACTGTACCACATAATTTGTCATACTTTGTTCCCTAATCTGTAACTTTGAAGCTAGTTGATTTTAAGTATAATCTCCACTTTACAAGTTAAAAGGCAAACAGACAAACCAAATGAAAGCTAAAGCCCTGAGGAAGTGTGATGCTAAGTGGCTAAGCTTATCCACCTGGCTGATGAGAGGCGTGATTTCCAGCCCACAGTTTTTTCTCTTCTACACTAATGCATTAATCATAAGAGCTTTCTTGCATTGAGGGTACAACCCAATGAGAGTGCTGAGTTCAATACATAACTCATTGAAGAACTCAGAAATGAAAAACATAGAGTTATCTAAGCTGGATAAGGAAACTGTCGGGTAAAGTGACTCATATTTGAATCACCTTATATTTCCCGGTGTGATATTTTAGACGCAATAAGTGTTCAGTTAAAAAAAAAAAAATTAAACAAAAAAACCACTATGGGGCGCAGTCCAGCTGTGACACACATGGGGTCGCCATAAGTCAGAGTCAACTCGACAACAACTGGTTTGGTTTAAAAAAAACCACTTGCTGTCGAGTTGATTCCAACTATATGTATTTGGTAACACTAATTTTCCTTTTTTAAGCATGAGAATAACAAACAGGATAGTAACCTTGGAGTGAGAGAGAGGCAAGGCATAGGACTTTCTGAGGAACAGACAGGGGCTTTGAAACTATGATAATGTTCTGGTCCAAAATTAGATGGTAGGTTCACCTGGTTCTTAAATTATTATTATTATACTTCATAATTTATAGTGATATTACATATACTCTTTGCAGGTACTAAATTGTAAATAAAGATTTTTTTTCACCTCTATTATTTTTTTATTGTACTTCAGATGAAGGTTTACAGAGCAAATTAGTTTCTCATTAAACAATTAATACACATATTATTTGGTGACATTGGTTGCCAACCCTGCGATGTGTCAACAATCTCCCTTTCTCGACCTTGGGTTCCCCATTACCAGCCTGCATGTCCTCTCCTGCCTTCTCGTCCTTGCCCCTGGTGTGCCCATATAGTCTCATTTTATTTTATGAGACTGTCTAATCTTTGGCTAAAGGGCGAACCTCAGGAGTGACTTCAGTACTGAATTAAAAGTATGTCCGGTGCCCATACTCTCAGAGTTTCTCCAGTCTCTGTAAGACCAGTAAGTCTGGTCTTTTTTTGTGAGTTTGAATTTTGTTCTACATTTTTCTCCAGCTCTGTCCGGGACCCTCTATTGTGATCCCTGTCAGAGCAGTCAGTGGTGGTAGCCGGGCCCCATCTAGTTGTACTGGACTCGGTCTGGTGGAGGCCGTGGTAGTTGTGCTCCATTAGTCATTTGGACTAAGTTTTCCCTTGTGTCTTTGGTTTTCTTCTTTTTCCCTTGCTCCAGACAAAAAATTTTTAATAGTATGTAAAAAAAAAAAAAAAAAAAGAGCACTCAGTAAATTTTTTTTGAGGAGCCAAATGTCTGTATCTTTTCAAAGTGTTATCTGTATGAATTTCTATTACCTGTAGGGCTAAAGGGATCATCAGACTTTTTAAGAAGGTCGGAACATTACTAGAATAACTAGAAATCTGAAAACGGATTAAAATATAAGGATAGTGACAAAGCATTATTAAAAAAAAATCTAGAAATATAATCATCAGTCAAAATCAAGAATTCCTTATATTCTAATAACTTATCTGCATTTAGATAACCTACTCCACTTAGGCACACCCAATAAGAAATAAACCAGGAATTTTGGGTTCACTCAGGAGCGGAGGAGATGGAAATGATTTTGTTTTGAAACACTGTGGAAAGTTACACTTGCCCAGGACTCAATGCCTGGCTTCCAGCTCCAGGTGCCCCACCTACTTCACCTGAGCCTCGGTTTCCTCATCTGTAAAATCAGATTACCATCTGCTGTGCTTCCCACTGAGCATTTTTGTGAAGATCACATAAAATAATTATTTGAGCAAGATTTGAAAATGGTAAAGGGCTCTCCAGATGTGTGGTAACATTTAACATTATTCTTCAGCCTCTTGGACCAGAATTAAAAGCAATGAAAACAACCAACTACTGTGAATACAAAGTAATAATTATGGATCTTTCTAAAAAATAATTTTAGATAACATATGGGTACCCATAATTAAATTTGAAGTAAAAATTTGACTTAAAGCCAGATGATATAACTGTAGGCATGAATGGGTTAGAAGAAGACTGTATGATGCTATCTTTATATTCATAATGAAATCCGAGACCATGTTTACTTGGCACCATCCTCTCTCATGATTCAGATGAGATCTGTGTGCTTAACATTTACAATATGTGCATTTCTTTTTTTTTTTAAATTTTCTTTCTTTTTTAGTAATTTATTTTGTTGTTGAGAATATACACAGTGGCGTATACATCAATTCAACAATTTCTACGTGTACAATTCAGTAACATTGATTACAGTCTTCAAACTGTGCAACAATTCTCACCCTCCTTTTCTGAGTTATCCCTCCCCCATTAACATAAACTCACTGCCCCCTAAGTTTCTATCTAATCTTTCAAGTTGTTGTTGTCAATTTGATCCCATGTAGACACTTCTTGGAGCCCTGGTGGTGCAGTAGTTAAGAGCTCAGGCTACTAACCAAAAAGTTGGCAGTTCGAATCCACCAGCCACTCCTTGGAAACCTGTGGGGCAGCTCTTCTGTGTCTTGTAGGGTCTCTATGAGTCGGAATTGATGGCAGCGGGTTTGGTTTGTTTTTTGAGATAGTTCTTAAAAGAGCACAATGCTCAAGGCAAACATTCTTTTTTTTTTTTTTATTGTGCTTTAGGTGAAATTTATGACTCAAGTTAATTTCTCATACAAAAAATTTATACATATATTGTTTTGTGACATTAATTGCAATCCCCACAATGTGACAGCACACTCCCCCTTTCCACCCTGGGTTCCCTGTGTCCATTCAACCAGTTCCTGTCCCTTTCTGCCTTCTCATCCTGCCTACAGACAGGAGCCGCCTATTTGGTCTTGTGTCTCTGATTGAACTAAGAAGCACACTCCTTACACATTATTCTTTGTTTTATAGTCCTGTCTAATCTGTGTCTAAAGAGTAGGCTTCGGGAATGGTTTTAGTTCTGGGTTAACTGGGGGCCATAGTTTCGGGGGTTCCTCCAGTCTCTGTCAGACTGTTGTTAAGTATGGTCTTTTTACTAGAATTTGAGTTCTGCTCCACACTGTTCTTCCATTCTATTTGGGACTATTGTGTTCCCTGTCAGGGCGGTCATTGGTGGTAGCCGGGCACCATCTAGTTCTTCTGATCTCAGGCTGGTAGAGTCTCTGGTTTATGTGGACCTTTAGTCTCTTGGCCTAATATTTTCCTTGTGTTTTTGGTGTTCTTCATTCTCCTTTGCTCCCAGGTGAATTGGGACCAATTGATGCATCTTAGATGGCTACTCACAAGCTTTTAAGACCTCAGATGCCACTCACCCAAGTGGGATGCAGAACATTTTCTTAATAAAGAAATACGCCTTTGTTATAAGGCATACATTCTTTACTACTTAAGCTAAACTCTTGTTTGGTTTAAAGAAGACTTCAGGGGATATTTTTGGTTTAAGGTTTGAAGATTATCTCAGGCCACTAGTTTCAGGGGCTGCAATATGTGCCTTTCTATATAGAGTCTGGGTATAACCCTTGACACGCGTGGCCCTATGAAATATGAAGATAAGGAGTGGGGTGACTGTTCTGGAAGCCTGTGTGTTGAGTGTCCTACAGGTAGCTCAGATCCAGAGGAGAGCAATTCTATTGTGTTAACAATCATCTTTCCCTTTTCAAGTCATTTAGCTTCATTGTTCATAAACATCACAGGAACATGCAAATTAGAGCATGCTGGAATGCTTTCATTTGGCCAAGAATGTTTTCAAAGAGCTCCCTGCTGCTCAGAAAGAGTCCTAAGCAGCTGGCTTCGCTGAACTGTAGAACAAGCAAAAAGATGTTAAATAAGGATTAAGGGCTTTAGACAGCAAGTATAAGATGTTCAGCGTTTACCCTGGCTCATCATCGGCCCTTTTCTTAATTCAGCATGCAAGCTTTCTGTGAAAGAGCAGCTTCATAGGCTTCTGGTTTTTGTTTTTGTTTTGGGGGGTGGAATGGCTAGGAAGGGTCCTTCTCTCCCTCCATAGGGAAAGATAAGAATTTAATATAAAGAGAGATAAGAGCTAGCTATAAAGCAGGCTGTACTCATTTTTTGGTTGCCTGCCCATTTGTAAGTCCCGTTTCCCTCAGACCCAATCAGCACAAACTGATGTTAACTACAATTTTATTTTAAAAGTGAAATGGGTCTTGAAAACAGAGCTGCTTTCTTTCATTTCTGAACCCACAGTATCTTCACTATGAGTTGTTTTTATTATGTGGCTTATGATCATGGAGTCTGGCAGCACCTGGAGTGTGCTGCCAATGTTTGACACCTTTCTCTGTAACCCCTTGGTTGTCATCTGATTCCTCTGGGGACACAGGGTGTGGTGGGCAAAGAAGAGCTTTGAAGATAAACACACATGGGTTTGAATGCTAACTTTGGCACTTGGAAGCTATTTCCTCTGAGCAAGAGGGATGGGGATAGCTCTAATGAGAAGAGAAAACTGAAGTAGCCCTTTGAAGTTGAGGGGTAAACTTGGTAAAGGACCTCAGAGAACAGGAACGTTCCTCTAACGCTTTGGCAGGCCTGACACATTTTAGTATCTAGTGCCATATCTTCCTCCCCTTCTTCTTGGACTATATTTAGAGCAGCTCATCTTTCTTCTTTGTCAGCTTTATTGAGTATCTGTTATGTGCAAGCCCACCAGAAGTTCCTTGGAGTCTCTCATCCAAAGGTTTACTCAGTCTAAGCCTTCAGTTCAGTTCAGTAGATGCTCACTCTGCTGCGGAGGGAACCCAGAAGAGGGAGAGGCGGTTTCCACCCTCAAGAACAAAGAAATGCACAGAGATTGTCCCATGAGGTCAATCTGGATGAAAGATGGACAGCCCAGAGATTTACAAAAACATAGCCTTCAGTAGGTCAGTGCATCATGTGGTCTAACAGGTTATGTTTTCATTTTCAGTTAGAACCTTTGTGACAGAGTTTAAATTAAAGAAAACTTTTCTCAACACTACTGTGGAAAAACATTCAGACCTACGTGAAGTTGAAAACGAGATCACCAAACTGGTAAGTTTCCTGAAGGGGGTCTTTGAGCTAATTTTTTGTTTACTAAAACAGATTTTATTCAGAGTTGGGAACCTCCTGGGCTGTTCGTATCTATCATATTTGGAAGATAACTTCATGGTAAAGTAAAAAGTCTCTCAGAAGAGGTGTATTGAGTACTAGAGGAGCCCAGTAGATATATTTCTTCCATGTGTCCCATTTGCAGTCTTTTTATCTGCACACTAGTGTTTCTTTTCCATGTACAAATTTGTAGTCAGAGACATATAGGTGACATGTACCAATAAGAGCTGTTAGGAAGAGGAAAGACCCCCCAAAAAACCAAAACCCATTGTCATTGAGTTGATTCCAACTCATAGTGACCCCAAAGGACAGAGTAGAACTGCCCCCACAGGGTTTCTAAGCCTGTACTCTTTACAAGAGCAGACTGCCACGTCTTTCTCCCGAGAAGCAGCTGTTGGGTTCGAACCGCCGACCTTTTGGTTAGCAGCCGAGCGCTTAACAACTGCACCCCCTGGGCTCCTAGGAAAGACCCAGATAATCCTAACATCCTATCTGCAGTTGACAAGCTGTGTGACTTTTTCTCTGTACTTTGGAGATTAAGAAGAATAACACCCTTTTTCCTCCAGGGAATGTCAAGGAGTATTAATCCTGTTAATCCTGGTCATCCAGGATTTGAAAATTCACGGCTTAGAATATACAGGGGCCTTTGATTCTTCTTCTTTCCTTCTTTGCCTACTTTTTGTCAGAAGAAAAGAAAAATGGAGAGGAAAGAAGATGAGATGAAAATGAAGCTCAGTTAGTAAATTCAGCTTCTCCATTGCTACCTGAGTCTAAGATTTGGTGTTCAGAAAACTGAAATTTTCCATTAAAATAAGTTTTAGAGATTGATTGATTTCTGATTTCAGGTTTCCGTGTTCATCTGGATAAGAGTTAGTATAAAACCAAACCAAACCCGTTGCTGTCGAGTCAATTCCGACTGACCCTATAGGACAGAGGAGAACTGCCCCATAGGGTTTCCAAGTAGCGGCTGATGGATTCGAACTGCCAACCTTTTGGTTAGCAACTGAGTTCTTAACCACTAGAGTTAGTATACTAGCCAAGAATTCTAGGAGGATATTGTTGACTATGGATTTTATTAGTGTAAGATATAGATTCAAGTTCTGATTCTCGATCTACTGAGTATCTGCTCTGTGACAGGCACTATGCCAGTGCTTCTCTCTTGTAAGAGGTGTTGCCAAACTCTTTTACAGATGAGAAAACTGGAGGTTCTGGAATATTAGTGACAATGGCCGAGTTGACACAGAGCAGAGTTTTAAGCTTACGTCTTCTGACGTTACACATAGTGCTCTTCCTTGTGTCTTCGCCACAGCGTGCTTGTGCTGTGGGTAGATAGTTCCTTCTAAGGCAGTACAGGGCTTTAGGACCCTGTGCAGAGAGGCGCAGTTCTTCATATCACACAGTGCTAACTTGTTCATTTTTGCCCAGTTTCAGCGTATACTATATGGTGATGTGACCTCCACACCCCCAAGAGATAGTGAAGATTTAGGCAGTGACTGGGGAAATGACTCAAATGGCCTTTCCCCAGATGTCATTCTGCTTCACCAATACCTGGGGAAAAAGTGAACATAATACAGTGAAACCTGTGAGAGCCGAAACACGACAGAACTGCCTTGTTTTTCTGGATCTCCCAAGTTTTCCACCTTTGACAGGGTGCCATCTTACCAACTTTCTGTCGCTCTCTATTAGTGGAAAATATTGGGGCTTTCCTTCTCTGACAGGTTTCCACCTTGCACAAGTTCTGGGTTTTACAGGTTTTACTGTCATAATAAAATAATATGCCATTGCCTATCGGAATATAAAATCAACGTAATGCAAAGCCAGGAAGGGTTTGATATTGTGCTGTGTTTGAATGTCCCTTCTGAAGAGTGAGATCTGTCTGAGACATGGGCTTTTAAGACAGGTGGGTCTGCCTTGTACACAGTATGGACCCCTCTGCTTCACAGAAGGAATCCCCAGCCCCTACTGTGGAAGAAGTGGGGAAGCAGGCATGATACTTTATGTTGTGGAAGAATTTTCTGCCCTCTCTGAAGGCATAAGGCAGACACACGGAGAGTCATCCTTAATTTGTTCCCAACAAAAGTGCTCTTGACCCGCGTAATGTAATTTCCCTTTTTGGAGAAGACCTATCTTCGAGTTAGATCAACTCATTGTAGATTATGAGGGGTCTGGGTAGGGCCCACCAGGCTGGCGGTAGCTGAAAGGACACAAGCCTTTTCAATGAGGCTCATTCACTATGCAAAGTCCAAATAAACAGTTGCCTCTGAGCTTTTTGAAACCCTGGGTCTTAGAGGAGAATCCGCTCCTTTGAAGATGTTTTGCATCCAAGGGTGCTGTTCTGAACATCATTTCCTGCCAAGATTGCCCCCACTGATTTTACTATCTGCTTCTCTCCCTTTGTGCTCATGGAACAACAGAATAAGAGCAGAAATGCTTGTAAGAGGAAACAAAAAAGGGCCACCACTTCTGTGGAAAGCTGCCCGCTGATAACTTGATGGCTGGAAAATGTCTCTTTTGTCATAGAAATAGGAAATTGGTTCTAGGTCCAAGGCTTTTGTCTAATTCCCAGTTAACGACAAACCTGTTCTTTTTTCAGTTAAATGTGTGTTTTTCAACGTTACCTGGTTATACACGATCCACAGTTCATGCTTCTAGGTAAGTAACAGAATTACATTTGCTTGTGAACCAGTCCATAGAAAGGGGAAGATATTCTAACATGGCTGATAACAACACACTGGGCCCTGTTTTGACCAAGCCAGTGGGTGACCCAATGCCAAGGTCACTCGACCTTCATGTTCTTCCATTCCCTCACTGGAGAATGGAGATGACGGGGATTTTCCAAAAGCCCTGTCATTTTGAAAAACTAAAAACCTACAAACTTTGCCCATAGGGAGTCCAGCACGGTGGCGCTCTCACTGCAAACCACCTTTTCCCTGGCCTCCAACGTGACGCTGTTTGACCTGGCCGACAGGATACAGAAGTGTGTCAACTCCTGCAGGCCCTCTGCTGAGGTCTGCCAGCTCCTGGGATCTCAAAGGCGGATCTTTAGAGGTAAGAGAGATACCCTCTGGGAGGACCCCGCTCATACAACTAGGCATAGACCTAAGATAGCATTCATAGACCTAAGAGGCATTCAGGGCTCAGGCCTGAGAAAGCTCATTCCAGAACCTATCTTTGAAGTAGGTGTTAAGCCAAAGGCTTCCGTATTACACACCTTTGTGCACACGCACACAAACATACACACACACTCCTGTACACATAGCCTTGAAGACGCCTGGTCCTTGGTATGTACGGTATTACTATATTTATTATTTGCAAATTATAAACGCACAGAAGCAACCGGAGAACGTAAGCCAGAATGCTCACAGTGGTGCCGTGAATGATGGTTTTCCTTTTCTTGTTTTTGCTTCATCTGTTTGGTCAAAAGCTTCTACAGTGACTCTAGAGTGAGGCCAATGAAGAAAGGGGTTAGAGACAAGTTCACAGGGAAGATCTAGGGCTTAGAAGGAGGTTGTCATTGCTGGGATGGGGAAAACGCTGCCCTAGAGTCAAAAGTGCTTCCTTGCAAAGGGGCCTGTGCCTGCTGCCTTATCATAAGTGAACAAAGCAGCTCTAGCTACTCATTTTACTATAAAACTAGGGCTGGCAAACAGTGGGCAATCAGCCTAACCCTTCCCGTCTGGCATCCAGATGCTAGCCCTAAGTTGTAGGAATCAGATTTTTGGTTCTCTAGCCTTCTGGTAGATCTAGGGCATGCCCATGGGTCAGGCTTCTGTAACTGCTGGCCCAAGGGCTTTCCTGGAGGGGACTGTGAGTTGCAGAGCTTGGGAGCTGGGTATTAACATTTCACATCTGGGATACAGGTGGTAGTGTGGCCCATGTGACGGCTGGTTATTAATGTGAAAAAAAGAGTCAAACTTTCTACAGTTGAAGTTGATATGATTCAGCAACAATTAGGGAATTAGGTAAAACGTTCAGGCACCATAATATTGTGCTCCCAACACTGAGGCAAGAGCTCTTCGTTTTTACTTTTTGATTCTCTCACCAAGGATTCAAGGATACCCCTTTTGCCTCCCCAGCAAGATAGGAAGGGTGGCATTCAATTCACTAAATATTTATAGACTACTCAAACTGACCACTTTTTGGTTAGCAGCCAAGTGTGTTAACCATTTACACCATCCAGGGAGTCCATCGAATAATTTCTATGTGGTCAGCATTGTAGCAGGTTACATTTTGTCCCCATTAAAATGCATTCATGCCTTGCAAATGTAGTAGCCAGATATTTGGACTTATAAGATCCTGCTCATAACAGCCCTGCCACTCTCTTACCCCCAATTCTTCTGACTGCTTGGATGTGGCTTACAGGAAAGGTCCTGTCTTCCTTTCTCAAGGTCTAGGGTCCCCATTCTTTACCTCTCCTTTCAGAGCCCTGGAGAACAAAGGCAGCCCCCCATATTGGCAGTGTGCATCTCCCTCCCCTGTTGTACTCCCGGGTCTTGTCCAGGTTTTCCAGACCCAGCTTGGTCTCTTGCTAACCTTTGGCAGGGTGGAGAGGTGGGTCTGACTGGCGGTAGCTGTCAGGTTGTAACACCTGGGTTGTTCTGACATGTGGGCAGCGCTGGGCCACTCTGGAAACTACCATTGGAAAGGCAGGTTTTTCCTCTGTAATTCACAAAATATCCACTTCCTTGCCTTCCAGAGAACACAGCTCTGATCGTCACCAGAGATCTAGAGTCTGGAAATCCCCAGTGGAGTGTCTCAGTCTTAGATTTATATAAGTTCTCATTGTCTGACCTTTTGGCGGATGTTATGCCCAGGAAAGAGCATGGGAATTGTGGATGCAGAAAAATCACATCAGCAGACTTAACATGAAAATGGCATTATACTTGGCTCCATTTGATGGATTTATGAATTTTTAGGAGAGCAACTCCTTCTCTGTTGTAGAGGCAAGGCCAGTTCTCCCTGCTTTTACATGAATCTGCTTCCGTGTGAAGGAGGCTGGTTGAGCAGAGTGATGAATATCTGCTAGCAGGCTAGGTTAATAGTGAGGATGGAGGAAAAACGCTGTATCGGCTTCCAGAAAATCGCTAATCTGTCCAGGGGCTCAGGCTGGCTGTTGAACATGGCTGTGGCTGGCCTAGAAGGGCCTATAGCTTTTTGCCCTAGAATATCTCTTCATATTACGGCTTGACAACGGCTAAAGCTTCAGAGAGTTTAGACGGGGGATTGTAGAGGTTCAGTTCCTCTCTGGTGCCAGCTTCTCCATGTTTGCCTGGTGCAATTTTCCTTTAATACAAACTTTTCACAATAAACAAAGGAAATTCTATCACGCATACAAATGGGGTTCTGATTAAGCACACCCTCTTCCACTGATAAAGACAGGAAATACAGCAGTGAGAACTAAAATTGTGTCCTAAACTCACCTCCCTATGACCAGGCTGCCAGCCTGGCCCAAGCTCTCAGGACTCATGGAAGAGGAGGGTGCTGGGAACCCAGTGCCCGCAAGGAGCCCTTTGTGTCAGTTTACGTCACCTGACCCTGCCTGAGGGAGGGCAGTTTTCTAGAGTGTTAAGATCTATGTATCAGTCAGAGTCCTCTAGAGAAATGGAACCAATAGGATATATATATACACACATGTTAGGTGCCATGGAGTCACTTCTGACTCATAGCGACCCTGTGTACAACAGAACGAAACACTGCCCAGTCCTGCCATCCTCAGAATTGTTCTGTTTGAGCCCATTGTTGCAGCCACTGTGTCAGTCCATGTCGTTGAGGGTCTTCCTCTTTTTCACTGACGTTCTACTTTGCGAAGCCTGATGTCCTTCTGCAGGGACTGGTCCCTCCTGGTAACGTGTCCAAAATACATGAGACAAAGTCTTGCCATCCTAGCTGCTAAGGAGCATTCTAGCTGTACTTCTTCCAAGACAGATTTGTTTGTTCTTCTGGAAGTCCATGGTATATTCGGTATTCTCTGTCAACACCATAATTCAAATATATACATCAGTTCTTCTTCGGTCTTCCTTATTCATTGTCCAGCTTTCGAGTGCATATGAGGTGATTGAAGAACACCATGGCTTGAATCAGGCGCCCTTAGTCCTCAAGGGGACATCGTTGCTTTTTTTTTTTTTTTTTAAATATTTTATTGTACTTCAGGTGAAGGCTTACAGAACAAATAGTTTCTCATGAAACAGTAG